GAGAGGGAGAAGCAGGCTTCCCGCAGAGCAGGGAGCCTGATGCGGGGCTTGATCCCAGGACCCTGGGATCATGACCTGAGCCGAAGACAGACGCTTAACGACTGAGCCACCCAGGCGCCCCCCTATTTTTCCATTTTTAAAGGTAAGTCTTTTAAGGGATAAATATAAAACAAGTATAGGAAAGGATCTTCTACACGTTGTCTTATTTTATTGTGTACTGCATTAATGTTCTACAAAGTGAGGTAGCAAAAGTTATGCTTACTTTTCATTTCTATTTGTTTTTTTCTTTTTAGCTAATGGGGAAGTATAGTCTGCCTAGCTTGCTAGCAAGTTCATTTCTACCATTCTACAAACTGCTCGTCAAACAAAATTTCTAGCAGCCCAGGACTCACATAGTAAGCTTTAATGTATAGGATGGCAAATAGAAATATCAAAGTTTATCGAATATTAAATTCTTTAACAATTAAAGATCTTCATTTAGAGGCTCCTGGCTGGCTCAGTTGGTGGAGCACGCTACTCTCTTAAAAAAAAAGATCATTTAAACTTTTTTTCCCCCTAGGCCACAAATAAATGCAGTTTTACCAGCAAACAACATTATTTCTTCCAGATTAAATATGATGATAAAAGAAATGTGTTTGTATTTCACTGGACACAGCTGTTCTTATTTGCCTTCTTGTATCACAGAAAACTCTTTTCCCTCTTTGAAACCATTTTTATTTTAACTATAATTTTGGGAGAAGATGCAACTGTCTTAACTATATTTGTGAGATAACATCCACTGATAGGTATAAATAAAAACAAACTATAAAGAGTAGTTTCATAATAAAGGTTAGAAAATTTTCTATGGAAAACCAGAGAGGATACCTTGAGTTGCTGACCACAACCAGTGGAATTTGGGAACAAAAAGACTCACAAACTACTAACGTGTAAAAAACCAAAAGTACATTAAGAGAGTGGGGTGCCTGGCTCACTCATTAAAGCATGTGACTCGATCTCGGGGCTGTAAGGTCAAGCCCCAAGTTGAGTATAAAGATTACTTAAAAATAAAATCTTTGAGGGACACCTGGGTGGCTCAGTCGCTAAGCATCTGCTTTCGGCTCAGGTCATGATCCCAGGGTGCTGGGATTGAGTCCCGCATCAGGGAGTCTGCTTCTCCCTCTCCCTGCCACTCTGCCTACTTGTGCTTTCTCTCTCTCTCTGACAAATAAATAAAATCTTAAAAAAATAAAACATCTTTGAGGGGTGCCTGGGAGCTCAGTCGGTTAAACATCTGACTTTTGATTTCGGCTCAGGTCATGATCTCAGGTTGTGAAATTGAGCCCAGCACTGGGCTCCATGCTCAGCGTGGAGGCTGCTTAAGATTCTCTCTCTCCCTCTCCTCCAACCACCCTCTTCTCTCTCACTCTCTCTCTCTCTGAAAAAAGAAAAAAAAAAGAGTATATTAAGAGATTTGAAGGTATGGTGCAGAGGGGAAAAAAGTAAACTCTGTACAATTTTATATTAGTGGTTTTGTATTAAACTATTGAAAGAATGAAACCAGAAGCATTTTATGTGGGAGGGAAGAAAGTCAGTGTGAATGTTAAAGACCCAGATTAATAACGAATTTTGCAAAAAGACTACAAAAAGAGTCATGATTGATTTGCTGAATCATCTTAAGATAAATAAGACAAAAGAAAAATCAGTTACTTAGAGAAATTTAATGAAATGAAAAGTATGTGATACGAAGTCAATCCAGAGAATTAGTGCAAATTTTAAATGACCATATAAGATGCTAAATCATAATCTGATACACAAAGCAAATTAATGTGGATAAAAAACCCAACTGTGAACAGTGCATCAGGCCAAGATTTTTAAGAACACATAAAGATAGTATTACTCTTTTGCGTTATTTTAGAATACTAGAAACAGCTATAAACTAAGCAGTCCTCTCTGGCACCTACACTCTAGAGCTGGATCTCATCAAGATCTAGGACTCTCCAAACCCGGGTGAAGGCAAGACACTGGTTCCTACAACTGGAGGCGACATATTGCTAGACTTGGGACTGAAATAAAAAAAGCAAATTTTCCTATTGTTTCTTCACAGCTTAGAAAAGAGAAGTGACTAATATAACTCTTTGGGCCCACCTGACACATAAAACATTTCCTTTCCCTAACAATATATCTAAACAGATTTAGGCAGTACATCCTCCAAGCCTCTGAGAAATTGAAATAAAATCTACAAATAACAGGAGAGAATACTTATCAAATAAGCTCAAAAAAATAGCTAAATATTGGGGGTTGTTGGTTACAACTATTCCTCTAATTTTATTATCACTCTGTAACTTGAACTAAAAAGAAAAAACGAAAACCAAAAATCCCAGAAGTTGCCTGGCTTGATAATCAGAACAGAGTCTGATAATGATCATACCTCCCCTTAACCAATACAGGAATCTCAATCACGTGTTATATTTTCACTAAAGGATAAAAAAAGTTATTCAACTCCATTAAAAAGCTTGTCATAGCCATTACTATTCTATGCCCATAAAAAAAAAAGACCTCTAGAAGAAAGACAACTTATAAACTTAAGCTGATAGTTATTTTTCTGAGAGTAATTTTTAAAAGATATACTTAAAGGAGAAAATGGGAAAATTATTAGATAATAGTTCCTTAATGAGTGAATAAATGACTAACACATTCCTTACTGAAATCTCAACCTAGCTAATTTGGAGACTTGATAAATACAAGAAACATTAACTACTTAGCTATGAATTTCTCTTTCATGAATTCCTCCATCTTCCTTTTGTCTAGTTTTACAAGACTCTTCCTCTCTTCTGATGAAGACAATCATTATAGATTAGCATGGCCATCTTCTTTTTTTTTTTTTATTTTTTTTTTAAAGATTTTATTTATTTATTTGACAGAGAGAGACACAGCGAGAGAGGGAACACAAGCAGAGGGAGTGGGAGAGGGAGAAGCAGGCTTTCCACTGAGCAGAGAGCCCGACGCGGGGCTCGATCCCAGGACCCTAGGATCATGACCTGAGCTGAAGGCAGACGCTTAACGACTGAGCCACCCAGGCGCCCCAACATGGCCATCTTCTAAATAATGCTTTTACATTAAGTGATGGGCATTAAGAAGGGCACTTGAAGTAATGAGCACTGGGTGTTACATGCAACTGAAAAATCACTAAATTCTACCTCTGAAACTAATACTACACTATCTGTGAACTAGAATTTAAATAAAATCTTGAAAACGAATAAATACATAAATAAAGCTTTCAAATTATTAGGCTTCTTAAAACTAAAAACTGTTAACAAAATCAAATTTCTCATATAACCCTGAGAATCGTTCCTTCCCTAAATAACACTCTGCAAAATGTAGCTATTAAAATATTAACTTAAGACTTAATCATCTACATGCAATATTTTACTACAATTAT